AGCCTGGTTGTCTGATGTAACAAAGCGCACGCTAAACACGATGCTTCGTGCTTCACCAAGGAGGGGCTGGGCTGCTTACTTTGCGTTCAGTTTTAATTTCATTTTTAATACTGCTGAATGCTTAATTAAAAAAAGTGCTTTTGGTAGGCAAGAGTGCAGTGCCCAACTGCACTGCAGTTCCAGTGTGTAGTTTAGGGATTATGTTATATACAAGTGAAATGATTGCTTCTTTTTTAACTCCCTGTTTAAATATAGTTCAAATTATGGAATATTTAGTAGAACAGAATCAGCTGTGGCTTGCCAGCTTTTTCATACCAGTGGTTACCAGATGCTTCTGTATTTAAAACCTCACCATCTGTTACAGGGTGGAGTTCGGGGGTAGTCTAGGTGTTTGGATGTGTCTTCCTTCTTGGGTGTCTCTGGAAAACTTCAAAGCATCTGTTTGGAGATGAAGGGGAAGCACGGCTAGCTGTAGCACTTCAGGAATTCAAGGGAACTTTACAGAAATGGATTGCTGCTTCCTGCTTTGGAGCCTGTCTTTATTCAGTCACTGAAATGTCCAGGAGTGTTGTGATACGAACACCTTTTAATGTGCCTTGTTTTTAATTTCTGTATCTGAATTTTATATAGATGCGTTTTAGTTACTCTTTTTTTAATGCTGGGTGACTCTTTTTTTTTTTTTTAAATCGGGGTGATAGAGTTAAGTCTAATAAAAAGAGCAATGTGCAGCATCTTATGGCTTACTCACCTTCCTGTGAGTAAGTGCACATCCCATAAGGAGCGAGGTGAAGGTGGGAGAGGACTTGCTGGTAATTCAGTCATCGAATCATGGAATTGCAGAATGGTTCAGGTTGGAAGGGACCTTAATGATCATCGAGAGCCAAGCCCTGCCATGGGCTGGTCGCCACTCACAAGATGAGGCTGCCCAGGGCCCATCCCACCTAGCCTTGAATTCACCTGGATAGACTTGATTCCTACAGAATGACTCTGCGTGACTCTGAGCGTTTCATTTTTGAGGTAAGTGTAAAAAAATGCAAAGGAAATGCAGGCAAGGTCCACAAAAGTACAGTAGAATTGCTGCAAGTGGTTACAGAAACGCAAGGTAGGAAGGCAACACCCTCTGCCTTCGCCCTCTCACACTGTGCAGCTCCACCAAAGCCTGGAGGGACTTGCCATACTGAAATCGGTGTGCAGTAGTTTTGGGGATGAGCAAAACCATATTTGGGTCAATAAACTGCTGGTGAAAAATAGTCAGTGCTAGTAACAGCTTTCAGTCGCTAATGATCTGGGACATGCTGGGGGAGGAGGAAAGCTGCATGTCTCATTACCCATCCTCTGAGCCATCTGGTCTCTCACGGTTTATTTGTAACCACTGTCCTAATCTCTCTTAACTACATTGTTGCTGAAATACTGAAATTACCCTTTTAGGCACGGAGGTTCGCCAAAGATAATAACGTGGTCTGGTGATGTGTAGTTCTATAAACAAAGCATAATGCAATCATTTAATGAATTTTTCCAGAATGTTTATTCTTCAAAAAATGTGTGGCAGTGCAACTTGACATACTCTAAGTGTGATCCATAATATTACATCTTAAAACCTTCTGCCCCGTTTCTTTCCTTCTTATGTTCTTTCTTTCAAATATCTAGCTCAAATAAGATACACTCATCGGGCCTCTGTGAACAAGGGAACAGACATTTCTGTTCCTCGTGCCTTTTCACTACCTGGCCGTATCCTCAGACATCCCAGCATCTTGCTCAAAACTTTCTCTGCTTTTATAAACTTATTTTCTCCTGCCATCATGATCTCGTTTCCCTGTGCAGGATGCTAAGAGTTCATTGGCTTTGCTCTTCGGATTCCAGCTGGAGCTGCACTGGGTCCAAGCCTGAATTAGCATTTTGGAGGAAAAAGTTCTTGTGCTTTATGCCTGTGTCCATTCTTACGTTAACTTTTCAATTACAGGTTCATAACATGCTCTACGCTTCACTTTATGCCCAGCAGTGGAGTGTATTATTAACAGCACTTCTTGTGCCCATGGGGTCTTCGTGAGGTACTTTATTTAAGCAAATGAGACGCCTTTGCCTATTGCTAAAATGCGGCTACTTACATTGCAGAGCCTGGCAGCTGCTCCAGCAGTACCAGACCACTGCTTTTATGGCATAAAGGAAGGAGAAAAAACCAATCCATATTCACTCAGAACTGCAGGGAGAATGTAAACCATCCAAATGTTATTACTTAAGCTGGAATTTGGCCAGCATTCCAGATTAATTACTGCTCTCTTGTGAAGCATACTGTGAGATACCTGAGGGACAAAAGCGGTCAGAGCCTCGGCAGAACTGAAAATTTAGCTTTCTCACGTATGTGTAGTTGTCCCAGTGGGGCTGGGAGATGTGTATTAGAGATGTGTTTTACCTGTTCAGCACCAGGAGCACCCTGGGGCTAACAAGCGACTGAATCCTGTGAAATCTGATAGGACTGTTGAGGTTAGGAGTGTGGTCTAAAAAACATTCCACAAGGCTTGTGGAGTCTGCAGGTGGTCAGGCCTTAGTACTGTCTCCTGTGGAAGGGAGGAGAAAGAGGTTAAAAAAGTTTTGCCAGAAGGACTGTAGCCTTCTGGCAGGGAAAAGATGTAAGTTTAGTCTTCCCCTCAGACTGTTATTCCTTTGAAGAGGAACGGATGTTTTCCTGAGGTTTATTTCAGGCCATGGAAGTATGCCATGGGGCTGTGCACTAGCTGGCTCTGAAACTCCTTAATACCTGCTCAAAATGACTTGGTGTAATCTACAGCAGAGGTGAAACGTTAACGTGTTGGAAGTGAGAAAAGCTTGCAGGGGGGATGAGAAGCAGAATTTGGTCCAGATAAAGAAAAATGGCTAAGTGGAGACTATTCAAACAGAGAAGAGGGCACGAAGGAGTGATAGCATCCACGGCATTAAATTGCAGCTACAGAGAGACCTGGGCAGGCTCAGTGCCTGTGCCAACTTCGTAAGTTCAACAAGGCCAAGTGCAAGGTCCTCCACCTTGGTCGGGGGGATGGAGAATGGCTTGAGAGCAGCCCTGAGGAGGAGGATTTGAGGGCGTCTGTTCATGAGAAGCTCAAGATGAGCCAGCCATGTGTGCTTGCAGCCCAGAAGGCCAACTGTATCTTGGCTTGGTTGGATCAAGAGAAGTGTGACCAGCAGGTTGAGGGAGATGATTCTGTCCCTCTGCTCTTGTGGGACCCCACCTGGAGTACTGCGTCCAGTTCTGGGGGCCCCAGCATAAAAAAGCTGGGAAACAGGACCAGAGGAGGGTGACAGGACAAGGGGTAATGGCTATTAACTAGAAGAGGATAGATTCTGACTAGCTATCAGGAAGAAATTCTTCACAGTGATGGTGATGAGACACTGGAACAGGTTGCCTAGAGAAGTTGTGGGTGTCCCCACCGTGGAGGTGTTCAAGGTCAGGTTGGATGGTCTGGAAAAGATAGACTGTTTCTGAGAGCCTTAGAGTACCTATTCCTACCCCTCCGTCCTTGTCCCCTGCTTGTAGGATTGTATTTCAATGTCTAACAACAGGTAGCCTTGCTCCCCCTCTCACCCTCACCATTTTTTCAGGATAAAAGTTAGTTTCTCCTTGCATGCTTTACATACGTGTAAATGACTGTTAAAAAAGTGCAGAGTGGTGGAAAAGTGGTTTCTCGCAGTTTTGAAGTGCTCACGTTGTATTAAAGCAAAGATTCCTGAAGATACGCCACAGTTGCCACCCTTCCTGCTGCTCCTATGGAGGTAAACCTGTTTCTTCTCTCAGATCCCTCAGTCCCTCACAAGCTAACAGGTTTTGTGTTTTGGGGTGAGACTTGGTACCCATAGATATGAAGTCCTTTATGGGGCATTAATACATATGTAAAATGAAAGCACATAAAGTAATAAACAAGAAGTACTGAAGCTGCTGGAGTTGGCTTTCTTGTAGGATGATGGCTGTCGCCATTCCTTGCCTTTCTTCTCTTTATTTCCCCACTGCTTTGTTACTTGTTTGTTTTTTGGTTTTTTTTTTCCCTAATTCTTTTGCTTCAATCCTCATCTTTTGCATGGTATGTTTGGTACTTGTCTGCATAAATTTGATGTTGCTGCTCTTACTAGGTGCTGTTGGCAGTGTAAATGCTGTTAAGAAGTTAAATCCAGAAATCATATTCTACATCACTTTTGTCCAGACCGAGTTTTAATTTGTAGTATTAATCCAAACTGTCCAGCTTGGATCTTGAGGCAACTCAGTAATGAAATCCCATCTGTAGTGGTCTGGCAGTACTCATAAGCAGGGCCTGCATGTACCAGCATCCCAAGACACTGTGGTTTGTAAAACCCCTTCTGCCAGCAGCCATCTGGACATCTGTGCAGAGAATGCGCCACCTTTGCAGTCCGCATGGTAGTTTCACCACAGAGCTGAACTCTCTGTGTGCACTCTCAGCCTTGCAGGGGTGCTGGAGCATGGCTGGAGCCAACTCGGTGTGCTGTGGCTAAAGCTTGGGGTGTGTTTGCCCACGCAAGGGCTGCGTGGGGCACTGAGCGAACGCAGACCCATCATGGCCGCTACTCGCTGAGGAGAGCAGGCAGGGCAGCACGTGCCCACCTTTAGGCGGGAAAAGAGCCTCCCCGCAGTGCGCATGCGTGCTGGCCAGCGAACCCCTCTGGACTGGAGGGCGGTGATGCTCCGCCTCCTGCGGCACTTCGGCTCTTCTCGGTAGTTTCCGGAGAGAAGTCTCCTCCTTCGCCGTCCTGGCTCCCGCCCCTTTAGCCCTTCGGCTGTCTCCGTCCGTGGTTCGGCTCTCTCCGCTCACCCTTCGGAACGGGCCGTTAAGTTCCGCCGCCACTTCGGCAACTTCCGCCAGTTCGGTCGGAAATGGCCGAAGACGTGAGAGATCCAGCGGTTTAGGGTAGAAGACCGGCCGGCTTTTCGGAACAAACCAACTGCGCCCAGATCTGGGGGGGGGGCGCCGGCCCCGGGGAGGGCAGCCGGGGGGGGAAGACGAAACGGAGGCTGGGGCTCCCCCCCCAGCCACTCGCAGCGGGCGCCGGCACCGCGGTTCCGCCGGGAGGGTGAAGCGAGGGCGTCTGGAGGTAGGCTGGAGCGAACCACGCGGCGGGGGGAGCGCAGGGGGAGCGAGTGTGAGAGAGGGGCGGCACGGCCCGGGGGAGACACTGAGGGGAAGGCCGGGCGGGGTCCCTCGGGGATGAGGGAGGAGGTGGGGGTCCCGCGGGGAGCCAGGACTCCATCCCGCGGCTCGGTGATGAGGGGGGCTGCGGTGGGCTGAAGCTGCGAGGGGCCCTAAAGCAGCCCCTCGTCCCGCTGTGCCTCACGGGGCCGCCGCCTCCCCGCTGCTTCCGCCCGCCGCCCCCGGCCCGAGGTGGGTCTGGGGGCTCGAGGCCTAGCACCCTGCTCGGCCTTCAGCTCTTTGCTGAAGTTCAGCTTTGTGCTGGGCTTTTTTCCCCCCCTCCGATTTCCTTCGGCGTTCCCTACTGCTTTCGACCTTAAAAACATTCGACCTTAATCAAAAAAACCATGGGCTAACTAACACGTTAATGCCCAGCCCCCGGTTGTGCCCTAAGCCAAAAAATTTTGCAGCTGGAAGTCATTCAGTGGGTGTTCAGGATACACAGAGGAGCAAAGCATCCGCTGCAGGAGCGCCTTTCTGCCGCTGCGTGTGTTATAAAGCAGCGAGTGTGTCTCCCTGCTTGGTTTCTGGTCTCTTGTTGCTTATGCATGCATCTGATAAGTGTGCCTCGATACCCTGATATGATAGCTTGGCTTCAACATTTCTGGGTTTCCGTGTGGCAAGTCTGGTATCTGTAAGTAGGAGATTAAATAACTTCGTTTCCTGAGTTGTGTGTCACGGGCAGGTCGCTCTGACTGATATTTCTGCTTTTGTGGAGAAATCTGTGTGAGATGTCAAAGTCTGACGCACGCGTTGCAAATGTGTTTTGATTGATATTTCTGTTATAAGTGAGATAATAAGGTTCTTGGCACATCGGGTGTGTTTTCAGGCTTTAGTAAGTAGTAAATAATCCGAAACTTCTTTCTATGCAAAGGTAGCATCAGAAATGAACCACAGTCTGAATTTGGAGTGATGGGAGAAGCGTTCCCCCCACAAGCTCCCCTGGTTTCATGTACCATCTGAGGATCACAGAATCACAGAGTGGCTAGGGTTGGCCATTGAACCTCAAGGATCACGAAGCTCCAACTCCCCTTCCCCCCCCCCCCCCCGCCATGCAGGGCCCCCAGCCTCCCCATTTCATAGCAGCCCAGGCTGCCCAGGGCCCCATCCAACCTGGCCTTGAACACCTCCAGGGATGGACGGGGCATCACAGCCTCTCTGGGCAGCTGTTCCAGCACCTCACCGCTTTCATGGTAAAGAACTTCCCCCTGACATCCAACCTAAATCTTCCATCCCTCAACTTAAAGCCATTTCCCCTTGTCCTGCAGTTATCACCCCTTTCAAAGAGTTGATAAGAGGGTTCTGCTGTTACTCGTGGCTTTACCCATATTCACTTAATGGCTTTGTGATTTCTCTTTTTTTTTTTTTTTTCAGTTTTCCTTCCAGAAACCAGAGTTTGCATCAGTTCAGCTCAGTGTTAAGAGATTCTAGAGCAGGGGTAATGTCTTCATTTGAGGGCTGTCTTCATTTGAGCACGGCACAGCCAAATTCTTCTGGCAGCTCAGCTGGGGTACTGACAGTTCTTGAACTTCTTGATGTCTCTTTGCAGAAGGGAAGTCTAAAATAGTTTTTTGATATTCTCTAGTTTTGCAAGTGGAGACTGTTAGCTCTCATGTTTGTTTGCATGCGAGGATGGCTTTTGGCAGTTGTCAAATCAGAGCAAAAGCAGCAAATGTGCAAAACAAGAAAACCACAGTTGTTGAAATGCTGTCGTTGAGGCTGTTTCTCAGTGGTAAAAATTGGAAGGCTGTTTGTGTGCTGTTAAGGTGGGATGGGAACGATCATCTTCCCCTGGGTGTTTGTAGCATGTCACTGTTCAGCTGTGTTATTAGGGCTTGTTAGCTTGTGGGGAGCCAGAGGCCACCTCGAATCTGCTTTCTGTGACTATTCAGTTTTGAAATCCCATGATATCATCTTCTTAATGTTTTTAGAGTTTACCTTTCTTTTTTTCTTCTGGCTCTGTGTATTTGTTCTCTCCCCTCACGATCTCTGGTGCCTGATTTTCCTCCCTGCTGTTTGACTCCTGTCACCTTCCCGTTTCCCCAGGGCATTCCTTCCCCTTCTCATGCCAATTCCAGCGGGCTGGGAGATGCAGCTAACCAGATGTGCCAGCGATTTGAAGCCGAGATCACTGTGGTCAGATGTCTGTTGGTTCCTAGTCCGGAGGCAGTTTTTCTGCTTTGGAAGCCTCACAAAACACAGAGCTGGAAAGGACCAACCGATCACTAGATCACGACTCCTCACCAGCAGGGAGGTTTTCCCTGTGCTTGTTGTCTCACTCGCCTACCTGTTATCTGTGCTAAATACCCCTTTTTGGGTCATGCACAGGCAGAAGCAGCTCCTAACACTGGGGTTTTAACCCAAGCTGGAATTTTTGCATTGCTGTAATGAATGAATCCTAACCCAAATGGAGATCCCTATGACCTAACCACTCAACATGCAGAATACGTGGGGGTCTGTGAAGAAGACAAGCGATATCCATGTGCGGGTTCAGGCATGGGGCATTTTGGTAAAGTTAGTTTGTATCTCTGCTGGAATGCAGCTGCTGGGGTAGCATTTGCATGGGATTTGAGGCACGCAGCTGGGCCAGACAGCTGTCCGTACAACTGCCATTGTGCTTGCTGGGCTATGGCTGCCCTGAGTGTGCTTGTAGCACTGTGGTTGCAATTTAGACATATCCTCAAAAGCAGAGCCCACAATTTTCTTCTTGGACAAGACTTTAAAGTGCTGTTTACTGGTGATTGTCGTGGTTGAGTTGGCTCCTGCAGCTGAGATGTCTGATTCTCAGATGCAAATAAGGTGGATATTGCCTGAAAAGAGGTGCAAAGCCAGTTTGAGGTTTCGGGGTTTGGTAAGAAGGATGAAAGCAGGAGCGTATATAGCTCTATGGCTCACACCTAATTGATCCCTATCTGGCCTGGGGTGTAGGAAGCCCTGAGTGCTGGCCAACCAGTAATAGGTGTTATTACACAGCAATCGCAGGCCCAGTTCTGAAGCACAGATTGCAATCCTGTTTTTGTGAAATCATTGCTGTTAGTTAATTGATGTCTGCTACCAGCAGGAGCCATTTAGAGGACTGACTAATCTATTACAAATGTATTTGAAAGGGCATTTCGTAGTTTTTTCCTTGGCTTGCTGGACGTTTCTTACAGGATTGTGACAATTTTAAAGCAGGTTTCAATACATGTTTTTTAATTCAGTGTCTGCTGACAGTTCGATCTACCTCGGCTTTTATGTAAGGAATGCACAGGTGTGCTGTGCTCCCTCTGCTGGCATCTGCCCCTGCTCACTGGCAGTGGCTGGCGGTGGGTCTCAGGGCTGTGGCATTCACAGTGACTACAGAGCGAGCAGTCCTTTATTGGTCACAGGGAGTGGAACACAGAAAACTGAGACTTGTCAATGAAGACATGTAATCTTTTCTTGTTGTCCAGGAGAAGGGAAGCTGAAGGCTCCCGCTAATGACAGTGACCTAATAATGACTTAGGACAAGGGGGAATGGTTTTAAACTGAGACAGGGGATGGTTAGGTTAGATCTAAGGAGGAAGTTTTTCCCCTAGAGGGTGGTGAGGCACTGGCACAGGTTGCCCAAGGAGGCTGTGGATGCCCCATCCCTGCAGGCATTCAAGGCCAGGCTGGATGTGGCTCTGGGCAGCCTGGGCTGCTGGTTGGTGACCTGCACACAGCAGGGGTTGGAACTGGATGAGCATTGTGGGCCTTTGCAACCCAGGCTGTTCAATGAGTACAGGTAGTTTGCTGTAAAGGAGTTTCTTGCACCCTTACCATCAGTTCCTTAGATGGTTGGGATCTCAGTGCATGGAGTTGGCTGTGTGTCTTTTTCTACCTGTCCCCTCCCCTCCATGAGTTTTGATGCATTTTGCTACAGATGCGGGCATACCGAGGGCAGTATGAGAGCATCCCATGAATGCAGGAAACCCTGACAAGTTTCTTCTAATACAAAATGCTAAGAACATTTCTGTCTCTACAGGTAACACTGTTGGTTTTTTTTTTCGGCATAGTTTCCAGCTGGTTAACCTTTTACCTGTCTTGTTTCATAAAATGCCTTCCCCATGATTCAGAATACTCAGAGGTGTCTGCTTACCTGACGTTCTTCTCGGGGATGCTGGCAGCACACGTAGCCTGAGGATTGTTCCCTTCCCGTTGTGTTTTGGTGAGAGCACTGCTGTGCTGAAGCACGCGTCCTGACAGCTGGCTCTGCAGGATGAGCTTTCTTACTGATTTGTACTACTTTGTGTTACGTGAAGGCATTGTGGAGCTGTGTAGTCATCCCAAATCTGCGCCAGTATGTTGGTCATCTCTGTATTCGTTTGAAAGTGAGTTCTATTGGAATGCCAAAATGTCATCTAGCAGGAAACAAGTTGTTCCGTGTGTGTGTGGTTTCCCTTAGGGGACGCTTTATGGCAGGTTGAGTACTTTCTAAGGGCAGTCAAAGAGAAGATGAATTCATTGGGCAACTTATTGTGGAAATTGGACCCTTTGCTTATATAGAGGCAGCACAATTAAAACCATCAACACCCTCCATTACATCGTGCCATCAACACGTCCTAACTGCTTTGCTTTTCCTTGTCTAATATGTACCACACCTTGGGTCCAGATTTGGATGTGATGGAATAAAGCACGTCACTGAATGTGGGGAGGATTATCTTCTCCCTCCTCGATTAAATGCCTTCACATCGTATGTAATGCCAGAGCACATGGGAATGGGATTTGTACTCATCTTTTAGTGCTTCTGTTATAGGCACGAGGAAGTAATTATAGTGTAGGTTTGCTCTGTGCAGGCACTTAGTGGGAAATGATGTGTTCTGGACTGTGTTGGTGCTGCTGCAGGGTGCTGCTGACATGCAGATGGCTACTGTAAAAGGTTGGCATAAAGGCATTGGAGCTCGT